GACAAAAAGTTCTTTAATAGGGGTTTCAGATTCCACAAGGTAACTGACCTTTAAGAAACTATCACCTGTTAAATGCTGTAGTATCTGAGAGTACCCACAATTATCTGAAAAGGCATTATATTGCACAGTGTATATTGATTTACTGATTCTGCCAATAGTAAAATGTCTCTGAAAACTACAAAATATTTTTCTTATATGTGAATATGAATTCTCCAAAAACAATCTGACTAAAGGTTAACTAGTTATACATAAAACAAAATGTCCTAAGTCATAAGTGAACTATTACTTTTAAAGGCCCTTAGAGTCCATCTCAAATTGATAATTTTAGGAACAGCTTTTTAAAAAATAAAAACTGCTCATACATTAAAAAACATACCTACAAGTGACAGAACAAAGTGTAGGTTCAAGTGAAAACTGTAAAAAGTGATGAAGTAAATTCACATGTGATTGCTAACTTCTACATCACAGGGAAAGAACTGAGTATCCCATGGCGCTCCTTAAGTACTCTGGGAGAATTCACACCTCCCCATCACATTTCAAGTAATCAGAATTCAGATTCATCCTTCCTGACTGAATACATCTCTTCTGCTGCTGAGCACTGGAAAATTAAGAAACCATGCCAGCTGCACAGCTGAAATGGAAACACAAATAGCTGCTCTCAGTCAGTGTGTTGGAGATACCACAGAATAAATTATCTATTTCCCTAATGGTTACCCACATGTCATCAATAATGAAAATGTGTGTTATTAATAGTCCTGTGGGACAAATGAACAATAACTGCTTATGGAAATGTTGGATAGTAATTGAATAGTTTAGAGAGCACTTTAAACTGGGATTTAAATCTGCTTGAGCAGACATGTCAAACGTTATACTAGGCAGCAACACAGTAGCATTTTTGTGCTTTCCCCTTCACTTGAAGCGTGGAAGACTTAGTAAATATAGTCAACTCTGACAGAAAAAACATGACAGAATCTTGTCACTTAGGAAGCCAATCACAATTTATTCAAAGATTATAAATGTCTTTAAGAAAGAAAATCGTAAAAAAAAAAAATCTACAAGGCTAAAAATGCTTTGAATTAAGACTGAATGAAATTCAGGAAGTTTTCAACTTACGAAAGGGTAATGTTCTAAATACTTTACTATAAACTGCATAGATGAAACTTAGAATTTATTTTCTTATGAAATCAATGTTACAGAAGAAGTAAGACTCTCAGGCCAGCTCATAAATGCATGAAATACCAGTTCATGTCCTGGAGATACTACACCTTTACAATTCCAGTAGAATGTTCTGCTAAAGGAGTTAACACCTATATGAAGCAGTAACATAAAATGTAATACTTTATTAGAAGTCTATCATTTCAGGGAAATTTTTTTTTTAATGTTTTTATTGATTTCAGAGAAAGGAAGGGAGAGGGAGAGAGAGAGAGAAACATCAACATTAATGAGAGAGAAATATCCATCCATAGCCTCCTGCACGGCCCCTACTAGGGATCAAGTCTACAACCCTGGCATGTGCCCAGACCAGGAATCTAATAGACGGACCTCCTGGTGCCTGGGACAATCCTCAACCAACTGAGTCACACCAGCCAGGGCGGTTTCTTTTTTTAAAATTCAACGAGCCTTTGTACTTAAGTGTCTCGCCTTATATACAAAAATCCCTAAAATTATAATAAAAAGTTCTGTGCCACTGAATCTGGTTTAGCTTACGGCACATGAGGGCCAAGTTTTTGAACCTCTCGATATGGTTTTG